GAAAAGTTTGGGTGGACTTCCTAAAAATGCCTGTGGAGCAGCATTCCGATGTCGTCTGAGGATCCCAGGATGGATCCAGGGGAGAGGTAAACCTCCGGGGGATAGTCAAAAAGCTCAGGTCCAGTCTGGGAAACTTCCAAAGACAAAGCAAACGGATCAAACTCAGAAGGTTTCTTCTTAGTTCAGTAGATATCCATGAAGAATGGAAGCTCTGCCGGGGCTTTGCAGCCAAATTTGACTCCAATTTCTGCTCATGTCTGATTATTAAACCACATTAAATATCCTATGTTTAAACAGATCATTTAGGTATTCAACCGTTTTTTATTTTTCAATGTTAAATCTTTTTTTTAAATCATATTTTCAGCTGTTTATCGTTTAAAATTTGCTGTTTTGGACTAAATTCTTCTGTAGAGTCACTCTTTGTTGATTCTGAAAGCTGTTGTGAAGTCACAAGAAAAATCTTTTTTTTTTAAAGTCCATTTTCTGGTTTTGTTTGACTGGTGGGAACCAAAAAAAGTACATGATTTACGCCCTTCCTGAAACAGCTGGTGGAGCCCGCCCCCCAACACCCGGTGGTGCGTTCAAGTGCCCGTTTATGAGGCCGTCCTCCACAGCTGTGGCATCAGCACATGGAAAAATTTTCTCGCAACTTCAAAGCTTTTTCTCAGCAGGTTTCAGACGGAAGAGTCCCAGCAGCCAATCCCACATCAGTCCAGTTCTCAGGTCTCTGCAGAACCAGGAACCAAGACCACATAAGTCCAGTTCAGAACCAGGAACCGGGACCACATCAGTCCAGTTCTCAGGTCTCTGGCTTCCTGTCTCTCAGAGACTGTAAAGCAGCTCTGCTTGTGTTCTGGTCTCTTCATGGTCTAATGTACATCTATGGACCAGCTGGACTCTGAGAACCAGGTTCTGGTCTCCTGCTGGGGTCGAGAACCAGGTTCTGGTCTCCTGCTGGGGCCCAGAACCAGAACCAAACCATGAGAGGCTTCATTTCAGTGTCCTGCTCCTAAAATCTGGATCAGTCTTCCTGAAGAGGAGAGACGGAACTCAGCTCTGGAGGTTTAAATCCAGATGAAAACATCTGTTTAACTGAATAGATTTTATCTGCTCCCTTCACCTTTTATCAAATTTATTTTATCGATTCTTTTCTTTCTTTGTTTTTCTTCTTTTAAACTCTTCGTAAAGCACTTTGAACGGTCTGGTACAGGAAATTAGCTGTAAAATAAACTGGCCTTGTCTCATTAAACCAGCCAGAGCAACCGGTCCAATCAGCCCCTGGAGGTGCCAGACAGCTGCTCTTCCTCCTCTCCCTCCTCTTCCTCTGGATTGTTTTCAGTCCAGCTCAGGGGGCCGTTAATGCTGCATTGTGCCTCCCGTCTGTTTGTTTGAAATGGACCTGGAAGCTGCTTCCCTCAGGATCTGGGACAGAGCCGCTCCGGTTGGGCTCCGTTGTTCTGGGATTGTCCAACTCAACCGTCCTCGTCCCATTTTTCCGAGCAGGGGCTGGAAGTTCGAGCCAATAACATTTTCTGCTCGGAGAGACGTTTGATTACGGCTGCTCCATCTACCTCCTGAGAGCCAAAACTTTTACCTGCTGTGTGTTTCTATCTGGGATCCGTAGGAGCTGATAAGTTCAATAACTAAACTCTGTCTTGGTACAGGTAGTTTTTCCTCATATAGGATAAATATGCTTAATGTATCAATTAGTTTTTAAGTAGACACTAAAACCTCGTGTTCCAGGTTTTTGTGCACTTTTGACTTTGACGTGTTCCTTTTTTTTTAGATGAACCCACATTGAGCTTTGATCATTTGCCCTTATTTGTTTAAATGCTGTTTTTTACGGTGGCCCTGAGGTGCAAAACACTACGACATTAACGAATGCACAACAACATTAATGAAAACACAACGACATTAATAAAAACACTACAACATCAATGAAAACACAACGACATTAATAAAAACACTACAACATTAATGAAAACACAACGACATTAATAAAAACAGTACAACATTAATGAAAACAGAACAACATTAACAAAAACACTACAACATTAACAAAGCACAAATACAAATTCAAAAACACAACAACATTAACGAAGCACAAATACAAATACAAATTCAAAAACACTACAACATTAACGAAAACACAACGGAAAAGGTATGTCCCAGTGGGTGACCTAAGAAGTCGCTGATTGGACTACAGCTCGTTTTACTTTTGAACCGGAAGTTATTCTGGCTTTAACGTGTTTTTTAAAAACATGAATGTTCTCCGTGATCCAAACCTTACTTTTGCTATTTGAGAGTATTTTGACTCAGGATATACATATGAGGTGATACTGGACATGCTTCGGACCAACCACGAAGTGTCAGTTAGTATGCGTTCACTAAAGACTTATTTGAAAGAAGCAGGGCTGCATAGAAGAGGCAACTACTCTCCACTTCGGGAATAACTTCCGGTTCAAAAGTAAAACGAGCTGTAGTCCAATCAGCGACTTCTTAGGTCACCCACTGGGACATACCTTTTCCGTTGTGTTTTCGTTAATGTTGTTGTGTTTTCGTTAATGTTGTAGTGTTTTTGAATTTGTATTTGTGCTTCGTTAATGTTGTTGTGTTTTTGAATTTGTATTTGTGCTTTGTTAATGTTGTAGTGTTTTTGTTAATGTTGTTCTGTTTTCATTAATGTTGTAGTGTTTTTATTAACACTAGAACTACCAGGATTTTTCTGCCTACCTAGAACTACCAGAGAGGGGTCAATTGACCCGGCAGCTTTTCCCGAATACACTAATCACTCATTTTGTCATGGTAATGAGGCTGTTATGGGCCGTTTGTGGGGTGAGGGGTGAGGGAGTCACACCTTACAGTGGTAACGCCAAGACAAACAGGGACAGACAGCTTCTTCCCAGTGTCTTACAGTTTTTCTCCCTTGGTTTGGCTCATTTCTTGACATTGAGATGTCATTCTCAAAACATGGACAAATCCCAAAACTAATTTGCAGTTCCTCACAACAGAATGGCATTTATCATAACTTGGATGGAATGGATGGATCATCAAATTTCAAATGCTTTTGAACATGTCTCAATCATTTAGTACATCCTTGCAAATGGCTATGTACAAGTAAGAGTAATAAAGATAATTGTGCAAAGAACATTCTATGAGTTGCAAAAAAATGTGCAAGAAAACATACTAGGTCAGTTGAGGCAGACAAGATTAACATGACCAGGAAAGAGTGTTGACAGATACATTTATGATATAATATAGAGATATAGAAGTAAAATAAATGAGACATATTTCCAGTCAGTATTTCCATAGTGTAATCAATAGTTCCATAGTGCAGTGATTGGACGCTCAAGCCATGGTCTGAATTTTTCCAGAGTTTGTCCCTCTTTTCAGTCTCTGACACTGTTGAATTGTTCATAAAATGTAATGTTGTCAAAAGTGATTGGAATCTGTTGCGGGGCATCACATCAGCAACTGGGGAGTTCCTGTGTCCCAATACATACGGGTTCCAGCCATTTGGACCAAGCCCATCCTCAGGTACATGCCCTAGCTATGAGCTGCTAACAGCCACATTTCCACAACAAAAGGAGTGTCCGCAGGAGGTCCAAAGGGTCAAATGACCCTCTTGTGGGGATTTTAGGTAAAAAGGTCAATTGACCCCTCCGTGGTAGTTCTAGTGTTAATGTCGTTGTGTTTTCATTAATGTTGTAGTGTTTTTATTAATGTTGTTGTGTTTTCATTAATGTTGTAGTGTTTTTATTAATGTCGTTGTGTTTTCATTGATGTTGTAGTGTTTTTATTAATGTCGTTGTATTTTCATTAATGTTGTTGTGCATTCGTTAATGTCGTAGTGTTTTGCACCTCAGGGGCACCGTAGTTTTTCCTGTCAAATATTTGACTTTTAGCTGCATAAGCTGCTCTCATGGCAGTTTTTTGGGGGGGGGTTCTGTGCTGCATTTTGCCCGTTTAACCTCCCAAGAGCCAAAGCTTTTATTTGGTTTCCGTGCTTTTCCGGATCTCTGGATCAGGAGGAGCTGATGAGTTTAAGAACTAGACTTTGTCCTGGTTCAGGTAGTTTGTCTTCATATAAGCTCAGTGGGTTTATCTTTAGATTTAAAATGTCTGTTTATAGATTTAATTAAATGTTTCTGCTGTCTGGTTCTGAGGGTCCAAATGACTTATTTACAACATTTGAATTCCACAATAAGAACGAGATTGGTGTCAAATGTCTAAAAGCATTTCCTTTAGATTTTAAACAGTAGTGTCTGATAAGCATCTGCTAAGAGGCCAAGAGGTCAAAGGTCAAAGAAAAAAGAAGGATCAGAGAGGCAGAAATGCAGCGTCCTCACATCAGAACAGGCTCTGAGGAGGATAATTAAGAGCAATTTAGTACATTATTTATTATAATTATGTGACTAGAGACTTTATTATCCAATGAAAACACTAATCGCTGATGTTTGTATTTTATTTTGTACCTCAAACGACAGTTAAAGCTTAATTAGTTTTATTTTGAAAGGAATGATAGCCAGAGGGAGGGCACAGGTTTTTTTTTAAACCTGTTGGGATGCTTTTTGGAACTTTTACTAACAAAATGTAAACAGAGGTAGTTTTTTTGTAATTAATATTATTTTTATTAATGAATAATGAATCAATGTATTCATTTATTTATTTATTTGATCTTTTATTTAAGTTGTGTCATGGATTCAACTGTCGTCAGCCACCAAACTGTGGCCGGTTTACTGGAAACCGACCAGTAAACATATAGAAACTGTGTCAACACTTGAAATTGAGCATCACACGTTTTATATGATCTATCGAACTGAACCTCAGTGTTCCATCTTCTTTAATTTGATTTGTTTTAGTATTTTATTTTTAAGTTTTCAGTTGTGGAACTTTTTCTAAGCACTAAGCACAATTTAGTTAAAATCAAAACAGTGTATAAACGTGCCACAACCATCCTCCCTTCCCCTCCTTCTGGGTCCAAATCCCCACAGAAATGCATGCGGTTCAACCCGGACGCCTCGGTGTGGGTGGCCAAGCAGCGCATCCTGTGCACGCTCAACCAGACGCTGAAAGACGTGCTGAACTACGGCCTGTTCCAGCCGGCCGGCGACGGGAGGGACGGCAAGTTCCTGGACGAGGAGCGCGTCCTCCGGGAGTACCCTCAGCCAATCAGCAAGGGCGTCCCCTGTCTGGAGGTAAATGCCCAGAGAGCACAAGCCTTTTTTAAAAGGTCCTTTATGTCACGTGGGGTGGGATCTTGGAGGGAGGACTCAGTCGCGGAGATATGGAAACAGGGGTTTTATTGGAACAAAAAAGCACTCAAAAGGAGTGGATGGTAGACGAAGTTCAAAACAAGGCTGTGGAAAAAACTATGAACAAAGTCTCAAAGCAATAAAGTTAACAAGACTGTGGCATGGCTGTGGCAAAAATAGGACTATGGCAAAGTGCAAATAAAGATAAACAAAACTGTGGCAAAGTATCAAAGTAAGAATAAACATGACTGTGAGAAACATGGCTATGACAAAAACAGTAAACAAGGCTATGGCATGGCTGTGACAAAATCATGGCTATGGCGAAATGCAAAAAATCAAAACCTTACATGACGTGGGGAGACGAGAGACGAAAACAGAAAGACAAAAACGCACTGGCACAGGACATGGGAAACGAGGACTATTTAAACACATGAGGGAGGGGAACCCCAGGTGTAAACAATAGGTAATCAAGACATGACGAGACACCAGACATTCTCCCAGACGTGACACTTTAAATGACACCATTAGGGCTGAGCATGAGTTCCCTTTATTCTATACATATAGGAAATATAAATAGGGCTGGGTGCCATATAGTACCTTTATTCTATAGATATAGGACACATGAATAGGGCTGGGTATCAATAAAAAACTTTCTAAACAGATACCTTTAAAAAAATCCAAGGATTGCGACTTTTTTTTAGACTTCAGCTTCATAAGAATTGAATGTTTGCTTGTTTATTTAAATAAATCGCAGCCTTTTTGGGGGGAAATATTAATGTATTTTAGCGTTTTATTACAGCTTAACGACACACGATGCTGAATTATTGGAACTAGAATCATTTCGTTGTTGGGTCCCAACAGATTCTTCCAGAATTCAGAGGGAAAACCTTTGTTTCACTTCTTTTTTTTGTGTCTTATCTCCTCCTAAACAGTTCCGATACAAGAGCAGAGTGTACCGACAGCCCAATATTGACGAGAAACAGATCGCCAAGCTCCACACGAAGGTAAGAATTCCCCCAACGGGGAGCAATAAAAGGCCCTGAAGAGGCCCCAGTCTCTCGGCCCGCCTTTTCCAGGACGGGCCCTCGCTGTTTGATTTCTATGGTAATGTCTGGTTTCTGGAAGCCGCTCAAACAGGGAGCGTGAATAATTTATCACAGTGTCATCAGAGCCAGCTGCGACTCGGAGACTCCACATGTTCGCTCGCCAGGCCCTGAGCCTCGCTCGCTGCATCCGCATCCAACGATGCTGCAAAGTGCAACCTGAAGGGTTCAGGTCTGTGCCAGCCTCTCCATGTAGGGGGCGCCACCAGGGACATGAATCAGCATTAACTTCCACATACACACATGGAAATCAACCCTTCCACAGACAGAAAACCTCACACAGACACTGGTGAAAACATTTACCTCTTATATAACCCACTGAAAAGCTTTTATACAAAGTAGTGAGAACTTTTCGTATAAACTACTGACACTAGTGAAACGCTCTCACACACATTAGTGCAATCCTTTCACACACACTACTAAAAAACGCTCTCAACCACTACTAAAATGCTCTCCCACACACTAGTGAAACGCTCTCACACACACTCCTGAAATGCTCTCACACACACTACTAAAAAATGCTCTCACACACAACTGTAATGCTCTCAAACACACACATACACACACACTAGTGAAACGCTCTCATACACACTACTTAAACACTCTCACACACACTAGTGAAACGCTCTCACACACATTACAGTAACGCTATCAAACACACACACAAACACTAGTGAAACACTCATACATACTACTGAAACGCTCTCACGTGCACTAGTGAAACGCATTCACACACACTCTGAAACATTCTCACACACACTCCTAAAACGCTACCACACACACCAGTGAAGCGCATTCACACACAATACTGAAACGCTCTCAACCACAACTGAAACGCTCTCAGACACACAACTGAAATGCTCTCACACACGCTAGTGAAACGCTCTCAAACACTACTAAAAACACTCGCACACACACCGCTGAAACGCTCTCACACACTCTACTAAAGACGCTCTCTCACACACTAGTGAAATGCATTCATACACACTAGTGAAACTCATTCACAGAAACTACTGAAACCCTCTGACACACACTACTAAAATGCTCTCATACACATAAGTGAAACACTCTCACACACTACTGAAACACTCATGCACACACACTACTGAAATGCTGTCACACTCACTACTGAAACGCTCTCACATACAACACTGAAACACTCTCACACACACTACTGAAACGTTCTCACACAAACTA